AAAGCAAAAGAAAGGAGGGTCTTCGTGGCTTACTGAAACGATGGCACAGAGCTTCGATGCCAGATGATGTGGAGCTTGTCGTTGACAAACCTGTGTGGATAGAGACACCTCAACAACCGGATACAGCAAGTTGCGGTGTACTAATCGTAGCTCAGGCACACAGTTACCTTACTGGACACGAGGACCAGCGGAAGTATGGAGTCTCCAAGGACGACGTGAAAGTTATGCGCTTGCGCATGCTGTGGGTGATCATTCATCATTCGAAGGAGCGAGCTATGTCGGAAGGTGATGCTGCTAAGACAAGCAATATTCTCCAAAGGTTGCAGGATGAGCTTAAGTAGGGTCGATCGACTGTATTACTCTCTGAATGAAGCTCTTTTGTCTGCATTACTGCGTCAGTCTGTTCACTGCCATTTCCAAAAGGATGCCGAACGATAGCAATCCATCGCCATCACCATCTCCTTCACCCAAAGCTGCTGCCAACTGATTGCTGCGCTCCTCTTCCTCTTCAATACGTGCTAGACACTTGGTCTGGACTTCCGTTATCTTCTCCAGGCTCACGCGCATCTTGTCCAGTCTTTTCTTCATCTCAGCGAGGTCCTTCAATCGTGCACGCGCCAACTCACGAGCAAGCCTGATCTCGCTCATCCTTGCTTCTCCGAGAGGTCTTTTCAAATATTCGCTAAGTGCTGGAAATGTAACGGTACATACATAAGTGTGGTGCACAAACTCTAGGTGGTACACTAATATATACGTGTTGCACACGTCGCAGACGTGTGCGCACCATCCTCGGTATCTCTAAATTTAGACAGTGGATATCCAGCCCGGAGTCGAGCGGGGGTAAGATATTATAAATTACCCTCGAGCAGCTGTTCTTGTGGTCACCTTAAGACTCTAAGGTTGCAACAATTCCCTTCGTCTGGTCGTTTTTGGGTTGCGGTAACGCCATTCCTCGGAGTTGCAAATATAAAAACAAAACTACAAAGTAAATAAGTTAGTAAATACAAGTTAATACTGCAAAATGCACGTGCGTGCCTAGGTAGCTGGAATACGATATCTTTTTTGCAATAAGACAGTCGAACCATACTCGAACATCGAGCAGGTTGACGTCTCTGCCCTGTAGTGCCTTGGACACGGACTCGACGCCCTTCATCTCACCAAGTAGATCCCGCAGACGACGCTTGGCCACGGCCGAGGGCAGCAGTTCTCCGAGATCTTCATCGTCGACGTCCAGAAAGGGAAGCAGCTCGAAAAAGCGATTTAGCATCGCAAACGTGGAACCCAACGGGTTTGCTGACCGATTGGTCGAAGGTTTGTTTTCAATCTGTTGTATAAAATCAACATATATTAGTAACATTTCCACAAATTCGATAATAAACGACACAAAACGTAACAAACTTACCGTAGTTTCGCGGACTGTGTCATTGTCCGCAGTTTCAGCGAAAATGCCCACGATCTTGCCTTGGTTCAGGCATTAGGGTCTGGACTAAGGCAAGATCGTCGGCATTTTCGCTCAGCTGTGCGGTTATTGCTCGGTTGAGACGGTGGTTAGCACAGCCAATCAGCGGAACGTTCATGAGAATGGCGAGTCGGCAATTTACGGAGCAGTAAGACGCACTAGTGGAGCCGCTTGTTGTAGTCTCGCAATAGCATCGCGCCTAGAAAGTCTCGATGCGTTGCGACCGACGAAATCGTTGGTGCCCTCATTGACGAGTGGAGCCATGCTAAGGAGCGGACAGCGAATCTCTCCGTTCATCTCATACCACGCGAAGACGGCGATGAAATGCTCAGTGCCATGGCTCCACCCGTCAAAGATGGTACCGAAACGCTCCGGGATATCCTCAGCGCTCACACGCACGACGGAGTGAGTCACCGCTTCCACGGAACGCCGGAGCGTCTCTACCGAGATGGGTTCCAGATTTGTGTACCTGATAACATATC